AAGAGGATACGGGTTGAGAGAAAAAACTTGCCTTATTGGCCAGAAAAGCAACCACAAATCAGAGAGAAAGAGAAAGGGTGAGAAAAAGAAAAAGAGAGAAAAAAAGATAGAGAGAAAAAAAGTGAATGCAAAGTGTCATTAAAAAATTTAAAATATAGAACTAAAAAAATGAACGGTACCTATACACTTTATTTAAAATTTATAAAAATAATCTAGATGTATTAAAAGTATTTGCTTTCTCATTAGCTATTATTGTACTGAAATTATTTTGTTGCACTTTTAACTTCTCAGCTGTCGTTAATACAGTTGGTTGACTTAAAAAAAATTAGGTGATAGTAACATTTTAGTTTTAGGTTTCTGACGTTTATTTTTTAACCGTTGCTGTTCGTTATGTTCTAACAATTTGTTTTATTATTCTCAAGAAAATCACTATGTATTTTTTGTAATTAATGCATTACAAAATAGCCGCATTAAGTTGGATAATTCTGCTTTCTTTACACCAACATTTTACAGTGTTATAGTACGAGTATTTCAGACTTTGTTGGGAGCAGGAGTCATCGAAATTATACACATAAAAAAATTACTTCAAAACCCTACAACTTGATTAAAAAAATAACTTTTAAAACTTACTAGTTTGTATCATCCCATAATATAATATTAAGACCGTAGGAAAAAAAGCAAACCTGCGAACGTTTTAATGGTGCAAGCAACTCTGGTAAAAGTTGATGAATCATTCATGAGAGACACATGAGACCAATGCAAGTAAGTGACCCAACACGCGGCGTTAATATATCCACCTGTAAATGCGGACAACATGTGTGCAAAAAATTTTCATGGCAGTAGTATTAAGCTCTGGTATATAAGACTATGCTCACTAATTTATGTCACCCAATTCCATAAAAAAAACTTTCGAAGCACGCTCCTAAAACCAGGCTTATTTTATATTATGTAGATGGGAAGTATAGATATGATTTAAATATGTTGATCACAGAAAAAAAAGTAGCACCTCCACTGACACCTGTGTTCAAAGTTTCTCCTTACTGTGTATGACATAATAAGTAAAATGAGCCTAATGACACGAGTGTGCTTAAAAAAAACTCTTTTTTTTAAATGGGGGGAGGGTATAAAAGTTCCATATGTATACATAAGTTTATTCTAATTAGTGTATCTATACATACATATATACATACATATACATACGTATATATGTACATTGACTATGTTGGAGCTATAGTACCGTAACCCCAATATTGTACACCGGAGCAACAACCATGTACGTAGCAGCACGACCGATTGTACTCGGTAACCACAAAAACTACGCAACCGATCTTGATGAAGTCTTGCATACGGATTTTTGACATTCCTAAATGGTTTTTATATAGTTTTTATCTTAAAAAAATCAAAATCACTGGATAAGTTTTGCAAAAATGCGGGAGCGTTCAGTAGGACACGCTAGGTGGCGTAGAAGTAACACCGAAGCTACCTGCAATAAAAGTAAGTGGGTCTAGTTATGATATGCACGAGCACATTGCCAATTTTCGGAATTGTTCACCGACAGTGCATCAAAAATAGAGTCGTGAGTCGTGCAGCTGAGTATCCTCCCATAGACAAGCAAATTACGTCAAATCCTATCATGAATCACTAAGACCAACGACTGCCGTGAATAAAAGGCGTTTTGAGCGCCGAAGTCTAGAGCCTTATATCAGAAGACGTCGTCCAGTCAGAGTACAATCTGCTGCAACACAGGATATTACGAAAGTTTTTCCAACCAACTTGGTACTATCAGGGAAGATTTTGCTACAACAGAAAACTAGAGAAAATAACCCTCAGGCTTTCAGGCAGCTACATCCGATTGAAATTTAATCAACCTCTTTCTTAGTGGTTTGTCCCAACGGCATACCCATTGAGAGGTCATTCTCTAGGTCTACTTTCTCGACTACTGGAGAAAGGTTGGTCATATGGGGGACGATCTGAAGAGAAGATAGTCTTCAGCCAGCAGCGTACTACCCTTTAGCACGGTCTCCATATGCAGAGACTCTGAGGGTAAGGTTCAAGCGACCTACAAGTAGCTCTCCATCATCAAGAATAATAATGAGGAATGACTAACCGTATTACCACTGGCTTTTTGAAGACAGACAAAAGTATTTACGTTTCTCCTTTAATCTCGTTGGTTTTTTTAGGGCCATCAAACGCTACACTACGTTGCCAATAATTATATGCTTGAAAACCATTTTCGGCAAAAATTTGTCTATTAAAAGACAATATAAAGCTGGACACTGGAAATCCAAGTCGGTCATTCTCTGACAAACGTCATGACCAGAGTTTTTCGCTGCAAGGCTGGATTCTCTGACTACTTACAACCCTGCATTACCCACTTAACTTTAAGTATTATATTAGTAATCAACATCGTAAGGGAATTAAAACTACAAACCACTGTTCTGTATTTATGCACGACGTTCTCACGAAGTTCAACCATCGTGAGTACTGAACTATTTAAAAAACATTGTTTTTATTCGTTTTGCAAGTTTTTGTTTAGTGAACTACATAAATGCAGTACTAACGTTTATAGAGCTTCGTTCCCCCTACGGGTCTGGTGACCCCCTTGTTACCTGAGAAATTGTGTTTTTATACTCATGTCATGTTTAAAGAACTTCGTTCTTACCGTGGGTCCCATGACCCATTTATCCCCCCTGGTTTGTTGTTTT